GGCGTCACTCCTGGTTGGTCCATTTCTACAAAGCCCGTTCCTTAATCAACTTTAGTTACACCTTATTTGCATATGATGTTGCAAAGAGTAGACTGGCAGCCTATAAAAGCCTGTGTAAACCTACAGACGGGGTCCAGAGCTTGGAGTGTTAATTCCTCTGGGCCTGCTAGTGTAATAAACCTGAGTTCTCCAACCCTCCGAATGCTGCTTGGTCTCTCACCTGGATCCAGGTTGCTGTCACAACTGAGCTGTAACACTGAGCTGTAACACACTTTGCTGCAACACACTAGTAGAGATACAACTGCTTATGCCAACGTTTGAATAGATCAAAACTCACTGCATTGGTACAAGATACTCCACAAAGACCTTAAATTCATAACCCTGACAATGCCACAGTATGGCTAGGACTGCAGAAATGAGAAAAATTAGCCAGACATCCCTGTATCAGATAGGGTTGTGAGGTAAAGACAGCATAGGACAATAATATGGGAAACCTTAGATCTGGACTTAGCTTTAAAGACTAAAGCAGAGGCACAGATTAAAAAGGGACAGAGTACCCCTGCGTCTCAATGGTCAACCATTCCCCATTCAAATCTTCCTTCGGTCTCCGCTGCTCTAGACACTCCTATATCTTCTACTTCCTGTTTTTGTCTTTTTCATATCACTTGCACTTCTAGCCACCTTTAAAAACAGAAGATCCTCCAACATGAACACTTTCTTCTTTTGGGATTCATGTGTTCCTAGCTGCGTTGAGGATGAGGGAATAAGCCAAAGGAAGAATGACTGGGAGTAGGAGCTCAGAGTTGAGCTCTGTCCCTCTGGGTTTTCCTCAGCTGTCACCGCCACTGAGTGTAGGGAGTCCCTCTGAAAGGCAGGCATCATCCCAAAGCTCTATGCTTCTCAGGGAGGGCTGTGTCCTTGAATCCAAAAGCGACAGAGTGTGATGTTCTTCTTACTAGCTCTGGAGGACCACCCCCTAGTGTCCCAGGGGAGTCTTTTCTCCCTTTTCCTTGCTCCCAGAAATAGAAGCCTCTTTGGATAGATTAGTCTCAATATCATGGAATTTTTGATGTTTGTCTTTTCTCGCCTGACCATTTTTGCCTTCTCCCCCTTAGGTTTCATGGGTTGAATCTGAAAGGGCATAAAGGCAGGCAGGATTGCACCGAAAATACAGCAGAGGTGGAGGGATGGCCCGAGGAAGGGGTTGTGTAAGATGTGGGTGAAGAAAAGCGAGGTGAGGGAACCAGGGGTGGGATCACATGGAGGTGACACTGCAGACCTGAACTGGCGAAGAAGATTCAGTGATTGAACTTCCCAACATAGGTTTCACATAGGCTTCGTGTGACCATGAACAAAAAAGAGGAACTTAGAGCCCCACCACATACACCTTGCCTCTCCCGCCTTCCCCTGCTTTCTCCAGCTGACTCAGGGCTGGGAGGATTTACTACAGACTTGGCAATGGGGATGAGGGACAACCTTGCAGGGAAGATAATTTGTTTGGCTGCCTCTTTATGTCCCTTCCTGGACTTCTTCCCCCAGAACTTCGTGCCTTTACAGACAGGCTCTTGGGGTGGAGAGCTCTGTGGCTCTCCACCTCAGCAAGACTTTGGGTGTTTGACCATTTCTGATCACATCTCTTTTCCTCGACCTTACTCTTCCTGCATCCTGTCCTCCCTTTAGGGCTAGTGTGAAATTGGATTTAAGGTGTGGTGAATGGCAGGGTCTTAACAGATTTGCCCTCTCTCTGCTTCTAGGTTATACTTTATTCTCTCCTATCTCCTGAAGAAATGAGCAGGGCAAGAGTGTGAAGACACAAAGTACGGCTGTTGGTGGGGTTTTTTTCGGGGGGAGGGTCGGGGAACATTTAGATGCATATTACTTAGGAGATCGACTTGAATGTATTTACATGTTTATATGAAAGGTCAAAATTCCAGAGTATTATATGGAAGCACAGAGTTAACATGCTTGTCCCTCCATTCACTCATCTAGCCATCCATCTATCCGGTAAATAATCATTGGTCCCTCCTACATACCTGCTACTGTGCTGCATGACAGACTCTAGTATATGCTGGGGAGAGGAGGGGAAGGGACAAAGGTGAGACTTAAGGCAGTTATTGTCAGGGATTTATCATCTGAGAGAGAATTTGAAAATTTTGGCTGGCACCCACAACGAAGATTCCTGAGGAAAAAGATACAACTGCTCCACAGGCTATAAGGGAGACCAAAAAAGCACATAATGACGTCTTGGCAAATCGTACCTAGGCACATTTCCCACAAGGCTGTGGTAAACCGGGTCCGCACCCCCGCTTGGTTGTAACAGTGGCTAGCAGGCCATGTTCTGTCATTAGTAACAGCTCTCTTTGTGGGAATAGTGGTGTAATTGTGGACAGAAGTTCATGCTGAGTTCTATTTATAGCCTCTGATGACTCATTAATATGCTACCTTAGCAAAGGCTAGCTCTAGAGCGAGCCTTCTATTACCTTGTAGTCAAAAACATTCTCACTGGAGTATTCTGATGAAGTAAAAAGCAAATTGTCTATAAAACACTCCCAGCAATTTGCACATCAGCCTTTTAATTGGTGGTAATGTTAGCCGCTCTTATATTTAGTAGTGAAAACTACAACTGTCAAAGGAACCAGCATCTCCTGGCGCTTACCAACATGTAGATTTTGTTCTAAGGAAAATAAAAATTATTCACTGATAGTTTTCTAAAGAGTTTAACCAGCAGTTGATCTGGAAAATATGTTAGCTAACCTTCAAAAGTATTTCCGTTCCCGGAAGTCTTTGTGCCCTGTGTGACTATGTCCTTTGTGACATTTCCACACATGGGACCTTCACACTCATCGCTTTGATTCCAACAGAGAAGTCGTGTTCAGGAGCAACTCTGCGCTTTGTAGAGATGTTAAGGTAAGACTCTGAAGCTGCAGTGCTTTTATCAATTCAGTCTGAAAAACAATCTCTGTGGTTAAGCATGTTAAATCCCCCTGTGCTTTCGCAGCAGCCTGGCTAAAGGTTATTACTATAAACATTGGAGGGTGAGGGGGAGAGAAAACTTAGACCAGAGCATTGTCACTGTTTGAGTTGAGGAGTTACTCATTTTCTATGCATTTTGGCCGAACCTCATAGTCAGATATTATTTTATGCTTTGTTAAAAATATAGCATATAGAATAGAATCTGAAAAAGAGCACACACACACACACACACACACACATCTGAATCACTTTGCTGTACACCTGAAACATTGTAAACCAACTATACTTCAATTTTTTAAAATTAAAATTAAAAAAGGTAAAAAAATCTTGTAACAAAGACTACACAAGCCAAGTGCTAGCAAGAATTAAAGCAATTGGAACTTTCATATGTTGCTGATGGAAATGCAAAATGATGCATTCACTTTGGAAAACAATTTGGCAATTTCTTATAAAGTTAAATATACACTTAGCACATCTAACATGTAATGCCTAAGTATTTACTCAGGAGAAATGAAAACATATATCCTTGGCAGAGAGCGGTGTGTGTGGTGGAAACAGAGCATTCAAACAGAGGAAAGAGCACCTCCGAGAGCATGACAAAATGTAGGAACTGAGGACATGGAGCATGGACTGCTGCGGGAAGTGACAAGATGAGGCTGGAGACAGCCAGCACTAGGCTTGGTGGCCCCTGGTAGACTTTTGGTCTTTATCCTGAGATTGATGAGAGACTAATAAATATGTAGAGCAAGAGGGTGGTAAAATTAGATACGCCTTTTTAAAAGATTGGTCTGGCTACAGTGAAAACAGACCAGAGAGAGGCAAGGATGATAATGTGGAGGCTGTTGAATTGTCTGGGGTAGTTCACAAGGGGCTTTGGGATAGGGCTGTGGCCCTGGTTATGTTTCTTTTATCCGCAAAAACCTCTGAGATGGTTTGCACTGATGCCTTTTACATAATAATATTTCTGATAGAAACAAGAATGATGAATTGCTTGTTTTAAAATTTATTATAAAATATTCCATATATAAAAAAGAACTTACGTAACATTAAGTTAAATTATGGAAAATAGGAAGACTACGCAAAGCTGCCTCTGTACTTCAGAACTAGAACATTATGGTTATGAAAACCTTCTTTAAACCAGACACTGTGCTTAATTTTTAAGAGGGATTGAAAAGTCTCCTTGGAATGCGGTGATATCAGGACTTTCTAACAATTAGAGCTTTTAGGCAACAGAAGAGGCTGCCTCAGGAGGCCGTGGGAAGCCAAACTGCTGTCTGTGTAGGTGGAGGAAGGATTCCCAGGAGGGGAGGAAGGTTGGGTGGGTGTCTGCAAAGGAATTGGTCCTAAAATCCTCTGCCACAATGCAACAAAGAGAATAAATGTATGTTAAGAGCAAAGCTTTTCTTAAAGTTGAATGTGGAATTATAGCTACTTTTTGGATTACTCCTTTGATTTTTGGAATACATAAGATAGAACCATGTTTATACACATATTCATATATATATATATAAATACATGTGGCTGAACTATTTTAAGTTCTTGAGTTCCAGAAGTAGTGGGTTAGGAGCAGGATAAGGGAGTGGATGGAGTTTTTGAATAACAGAGAAAAAGTTGCAACTCCATTTTCTATCTGCAGCAGGGGGTGGCAGACTACAGTTCGTGGGCCAAATGCTGCTTATTCTTGTAATGACCCACAAGCTAAGAATGGTATTTACATTTGTCTGACTGACTGAATTTTAAAATTTGAGATAACTGTAGATTCATGTGCAGTTATAATATGTGCATGTATTACTATACAGAAAAAAATTAGAGAAATTGAATTCATCAAAATTAAAAACTTGTGCATCAAAGGACTCTATGAGAAGAGTGAAAAGGCAATCCACAGAATCAGTGAAAATATTTGCAAATCATAAATCTGATAAGTGATTAATATCCACAAGATATAAAGAATTCTTACAACTCAAAAACAAAAAAACAAACAACCTATTAAAAAATGAGCAAAGGAGTTGAATAGACTATTCTCCTTTTTAAAGAAGATATAAAGATGATCAATAAACACTTGAAAAGATGCTCAATATGAGTAATTAATAGAGAAATACAAACCAAAACCATGAGATACAACTTCATAGCCATTAGAATGGCTATCTAAAAATCAGGAAAATCCAAAAATTAGAAAGTAACGAGTGTTGTCAAGGATGTGGAGAAATTGGAACCCTTGTTGCACTGTTGGTGGCAATGTAGAATAGTGTAGCTGTTATGGAAAACATTATGGTGGCTCTTCAAAAAATTAAAAATAGAATTACCATATGAGCCAGCAATTCTACTTGTAGGTATAAGAAAAGAATGGAAAGCAGGGACTTGAACATACATTTGTACACCCACATTCATAGCAGCATCATCCACAGTATCCAAAGGTAGGAACAAGTCAAATGTCCATTGATATATGACAAGATAAACAAAATGTGGTATATACATACAATGGAATATCATTCAGCCTTAAAAAAGAATGGAATTCTGACCCATGCTACATGTGGATGAACCCTGAAAACATTATGCCAAGTGAAATAACAGACACAGAAGAACAAATATCGTATGATTCTATTTATACAACGTACCTAGAGTAGTCAAATTCATAGAGACTGAAAGGAGCTGCAGGAAAGGAGAAATGAGCAGATATTTTTTAATGGCTACTGCATTTCCTTTTGGAATGAAGAAGTTCTGGAGAGGAATAGTGGTAATGGTTGAATAACACTGTAATATATTTAATGCCACTAAATTTTAAACTTAAAAATTATTAAAATGATAAATTTTATGTTATATATATATTACCATAATAAAAAAAGAGAGATCCTGTGTACTCTCCAGTTTTCCTCAGTGGTAACATCTTACAAAACCATGCAATACAATGTACAACCAGGATATTGGTATTGATATAATCCACTGATCTTGTCCAGATTTCCCTAGTTTTACATGTACTCATTTGTGTGGTTTTTAAATTTTTAAATGATTGAAAACAATAAAATATTGTGTGATATACATGAAAATTATAGGAAATTCAAATATTAGCATTTATAAATAAAATTGGACTGGAACATAGTCATGATCATTCATTTATGTCATATTTATGTCTACTTTTGTGCTATAGTGGCAGAGTTAAGAAGTTGTGACAGAGACATATGGCCTACAAAGCATAAAATATTTACTACTTGGCCTTTACCTGGCCCAGAAAAAGTTTCCTGACCCCTGTTCTACGATCAGCTGCTCCCTCAACCTCCTTTCCCCTCAAAAAAGAAAAAAAAAAGTAGTGAGTATAAAATAACTTAGGGCAAACTACTGGACACTATGTATAACTTTAGGTAAAAGGATCATAATGAAAATGGTAAATTGTCAGGGGTGGTATTCATATAACTTAATTTGATGCTACTGGCCTTGTTGGGAAACTTAATTGTTGCTAACATGCATACTCTTGTTGGTTTTTTTTTGTTGTTGTTGTTGTTCTTATACCTTTGGTCATTATACCAGTGGATATGCTTCTGATGCAAGTAACAGAAAAGAAAACTAAATTTAGTTTAAATAAGACCATGTCATTACCTCTCATTAAAATTTTAGAAGTAAGGAGGTTCCAGAGGTGATTAATTCAATAGCTCAAAGATGTGTCTCAAGGACCCAGGTTCTGTCCACTTTTCTGCTCTGTCATCCCCAGTTTGTTCTCAGGCTCATCCTGGCGTATCCTTAACATGGCTGCTGGAATTCAGCATGTCCTAGGGTTGGAAGATGGGAAAAGGCATGGTCCTTCTTCATGGTCCAATTACACAGATAAAAGTTCTTCCAGAGTTCTCCTAGCAGACCTGTTTCCTGAGTTGCTTTATAAGCCTTGGTGAGGGAAACAGAATACCACGATCAGCCTAGACTAATCAGGATTCATCCCTGGAATGAGGAAGAGCCCGGTGTTTCTGAGACACATGTTCAACTAATACTTGAACAAAACTGAGATTTTGTTAGCAAGGAAAAATGTGGGGGAATGAATGTTGGGAGGCAACAAATTGTGTCAGATAGTGCCATTGTCACAGTTTGGATGTCTGCAACCTCAGTTGTGGAGTCTATGAACCAGGATGTGGGCGCTCACCGGATAACACATCTGCTGGCACCTTGATCTTGGACTTCCTGGCCTCTAGGACTGTGAGAAACAAATTTATGTTGTTTCTAAGCCACCCAGTCTATGGGACTTTGTTATAGCAGCCCAGACTGACTAAGATACCATTCAACATCTCCTTCCCTTCTGAGTCTTAAAGTATTTTTGACTGTTAACTTTCCTTTCTTAGGTGACATAACTCAGTAGTCATCATCTCAACTTGTAGGTGGAAATAAAATACTTAGATCAGTCAGGTTCACGCAAAATCTCAAATTTACTCACAGCTAACTCACCCCCTCTTTTTAGGAATAGGAGAAAAAGTCTGAGAAAGGTATTTCTGACCGAAACAGAGAAAATAAATAAATGGTATCAAGGAGAGGGCTTCTAGGAGACTGAAGTTAGATGGTGGGGGATGTGACAGGAAGACAGACTGAGGGTTGCTTACATCAGAGGGGCATGTGGGGCAAAAGTACATCGAAATACAATTTGGGGGTGTTGGTGACTGCCTTCTCTTTAGACTTTGTTTCTCACTCTGACCTGAATCTGAAATTCTAAGTGATTAGAAGTTGAAATAGGAGCTATTAAATTCAGACTAGTCCAGTGGGGAGGGTTTAGCTCAAGTGGCAGAGTGAATGCTTAGCATGCACAAGGTCCTGGGTTCAATTACCAGTACCTCCATAAAAACAAAACAAAACAAATAAACAAACAAAACCCCCAACTAACTACATAAATAAACCTACTAACCTCCCCCCTACAAAAAAAAAATTCAAACTAGTTCTTACCAGAGTTAACCCCTGTCCCTGTTAAGCTTTCCACACCTTCAGGACACTCTGCACATCAGGCCCTGCCTGCGTCTTTCAGGAGGTCTAGTGTCTCCACAAAGTTAGCTCAAGTCTTGAGGAGGGTACAGGGAGGATGGGCCTCCGCCTCCCATGGTCAGATCTCTTTCCTGTCTGAATTATTTCTGATGCCATTCCTAGGCCCAGAGGGCCTTCATGCTCTTTTTCAGATTCTTGAGAACCTTCTTTGAAACTTCCATTTGTATCCATCTACCCCGAGTGCATTGATTGATATCCTGAGTACAATCTGAATCTTGGTAAGTACTCTCAGAGCATTCCTTATAAGAAATGAGGGTGGGGAGAGATAGAGGGTGGGATAAATTCTGAGTGTGGCAGTGACAGGTTAGAAATAGATATGAGAAAGAATATATATGTATGTATAGGGGTGTGTGTGTGTGGATAAAACTGAATCACTACACTGTATACCAAAAACTAACACAACATTGTAAGTCAACAATACTTCAATTAAAAAAAGAACAACAACAACAACAAAAGCAGACGCCCCATAAGTGTTCCTTGAGGATTAAGTGACAGAATGCTGGGATGACGTGAGAGGCACACTTGACTCTAGGTGAGCAAGTACAAGTGTGGAGAGAGTAAGTGGGAAGCAACAAGAGGGATACTTCAGAGCTTAATATTTTACCTTCAAAACCTTTTTGTTTCCTGGTGTGGTGAGTTAAGAAATTCTGCTACAAATCCATGTGGCTATGATAAAACTATAAACAGAATGCTTTGGAAATAATGTTTCATTAATTCACATCCTTACCCTCTTGAGAAAGGATCTATAAAATGAACAGAAGAGCATGAAAATTGTGGGTTCTGTCCAGCGGAAGTCCCACCAAGATGGAATGAATTACTCGAGACTCTGGAAAGTCAAGAGAGCAAGAGGGAGTCGGGGACCAACTCCTCAAGCCTCTCAAATGCTCCCACATTCATTGTGTACAATCAAAGGAAAATCACCAACAGTTGTGTCATGGGATGTAGGCGCTTAAGGAAAGACACCATCAAGTAGAGATTATAGAATCCACAATGAGTACAAAGGCTTAATTAATCTTCAGGACAGACACGGGGAGAGGGGAACAAGGTACACTCTTCAGACAGAAGATGTTGATTACAAAACAGACTACCAGACCAGCCAGTTCCTTGTCTTGGGGTTACTGACTATCTAAAAAGCAGAAAGCATGCCCAGCGTTTATAGCTGAGGGCATAGGTTGTTGCTTTGCAACGAGAAGAGTAAATCCTAAACTATGGACCTATGCTTATGATAAACAAGCCGTGTCCTGCGTTTATAGCAAGGGACACACAATGGCTTTGCCATTGGAAGCATCCTAGGCTAAAACCTCAACTATGCAAGCGAGGCATTGTCTCTGCTTTTTACAGCAAGGAGACAGGAGTGCAGATGCACAGGCGCCTGCTAGCAAAGCACATTTGTTGTTCTTAAAGGTCACAAGTGGCTGGGGTCTGTTACAATTTATTGACCCAAACATGGGCTCCCACAGAAAATAATTAGAAATAAAAGAAGAAAGACAACATAAAATGGAGCCAGGGATGTGATTACAAAAGCACAGCATAATGATGAAGAATGGCCCAAGTGCAAATTTAACTTCAGGCTTACCAGCAACCAACTCAAAGCAGGAAGTGCAAAGTGGTTACACAGTTCACACAGTTGATAAGATGAAAAAAGGCCAGTGGCCTAAAATAAGTATATCACTCCTTAGTACTAAGACCAGGCAAATTCTTTGGCGAGTCTCCCAGAATAGGACAGTGTGAAACGCCGAACAACATGATCAACCATATCCTTAAAGAAGATTCAATGATAAGTTCTTTCAGTCCAGCAAACTCTACTTCAGGGAAAGGGTGGACAGTGGTGCTGGTGGGTTCTTTGAAATATCAGTACATGTTCATAACTTTGAAGAGCCACAAACATATTGCCAGTTTAGAAGATTTCTATATCTCAGTGAGGAAAAAACATTAACAGTCCATGTTCTGGAAGAAGGAGAAAGTCCTGCCTTTAGAGTCTTAATATCATGTTCCCTTCCTCAATCCATGGCGCAAGAGCACACACCCCCACACACTCGCACAGTCACACACTTCTCTAAATTCTCATTCCATGTCTTGGCTGAATGAGGGAAAGGTTACACTATGATATATATGTATATAATCAAATATACTATGATTGTTTTTAAAATTTAAAAGGAGCTGCCAATTAAGATTACTAGGAACTGACACTGGGCAATAAATTATAATTAAACATTATTCATTCTTATACATAGTGGAGCCAGATTTTGTGGGTCTTGAAGCTTACACAACTTTGGGTACTCTCCTTAAGGAAAAGAATGTAAAATTATGAATATAAAAAGTGGGTATGAAAAATAAATACACAGAAAAAGAAAATAAATCACAACAAATTACTGAAGTTGTGGAGATTTGAGTTCTTTCCTTCTAAGATTAGGCAATTTACCAGAAATGCTTACATAGAAGTGGTTCCTGAGGTGGAGGGTATAGTTCAGTGGTAGAGTGCAAGCTTAGCATGCATGAGGTCCTAGTTCAATCCCCAGTACCTCCTCGAAATAAATAATAAATGAAAATTTAAAAGTAAACGTAATTACCTCCCCCTCCCCAAAGAAATGCTTCTTGATTATAATCTGCTCTCCTTTTTCCACCAGCAGCTATCCCCTAGTGCTCACAGGGGCCCCTGCAAGTGAGGGGCCCTGCAGCTTAACCTTCATTAATAGAAAATCTGGTCCTCGGTTCCAATCATTAAGTCCATCATCTTTCCCTAGAAGATTAAGCTTCTCCCTTCTCTGATAATGCGAACTTTGAACTGCTATTGACAAGACTCCAAAGAACTCAATGTCTTTATTTCTTTGAAAAATTACTTCATATCCATCTGGAAAAAGTGATAACTCCAGTCTTGTTCTTTTTAAAAAGTGATCCTTTGCCCTCTCTCACAGGTCAGGCTCTAAAAATGCGTATCTTTGGCTGTCAAACGAGAATTTCCAGAGACATGTTCTGGAACCAAAGAGGAGGAATGTGGGGGAATGTGAGATCTGCTCTGCTCTGCTCTGTAAGGCAAACAGCAGGACGTCGGGAAAGTCTGGTATCTCTGAATGTATTTTCTGTACATCTGTCCTCTTTTCAAATCAATGTTACTTTTATTTCTTGGATGAAGATCTATAATCAAGTTGCCACTGATGAGCTGTGAGAATTTTGACTTCAGCTTTGTAACAAATGAATCTGAAAGCAGAAAAGCCAGACGGAAAAACAATCTCCAATCTGAAAAGTAAAAAGTAAAATTTACTTCCAGAAAAATATTGCCTATGACTAGGAGGAAAATTAAAATTATGTAAAAATGAAACCTCAGGCACTCAAGTTTTGCTGAGAGTGTTTCCTCTTGCTTTTTGTAACTTTACTCTGGGATTGAGCAGTGTCGGCATATTTGCCACACAATAGATTTCCTGTAGTAAGAGGAAAGAGTCATAGGTTGAGTTTATCTGAAGGAAGGCAAGGCCCTCTGATGATTAATACAGATTTTTCTGGAAAGTCAGCAATCCATTTAACACAGGAAGATTCCCCCTACCTGTCAGGGCGCCTGGCAGTAACTGAGCTTCTGGCGCCCTGATTCCTTCCAGGTCCCTGGAAGGTGGGCTGTGTTAGGAAACTAGGTGAGTATGAGCACTCAGGGGAGGCAGGGCTCCGAGCCAAGGCTGAAAAGCAAAGCCTGGGGCTCTCAGGGCTGACGTGGGTTTCTGCAGAAATTGGGGAAGCCTTTTAGAATTGATATCCTTGCCTAGGAGGCCACAGAGCTGCCAATGAGAACGTATCAAGCTGATCTACCAATGGGTTTCACAGGAAACTGTGAGCAGGAAAGGATGGGAAATGCACAAGAAAGGAAAAAAAGGAGAGAAAGAAAGCAGAGATAAATTCAAGCTCCAAGTATGGAGCAGAAACACAGACAGATTATTTTGAAGCATTAAACTACTATGAGCTCTCAGAAACTCAGAATTATGTCAGAGAGATCTGATCTGGATAAAAACTTAAACAATACATTCATTTTAAAAGTAAATATAAACATATTTTAAGGCCTATTCCTTAACAGTTAAGAAGTTGAGAAAACAAGTCAAAATCCTCCTGGGATTGCTTAAATGCCTAAAGGGGACAAAATTGTGATGGGGTCAATTAATTCTTCTTATCTCAATATATGCTGCCAAAATTACTTTAAGTGCTTGAAAACTGTTTCCTTCAGAAGGCTAAACATGATTTTAGCATTTTTTTCTGCAAATCATTTTTTAGAAATATATTTTAAAACAATGGCATCTTTTTATTTTATTTTTTATGGTTCTTTTTTTTTGCCTTTAAAATTTTTATTTTACTTGAAGTATAATCAGTTTACAATGTTGTGTCAATTTCCAGTGTATTGCAATATGTTTCAGTCATACATATACATACATATATTCCTTTTCATATTATTTTTCATTATAGGATACAAGCTATTGCTACTGAGTATAGTTCCCTGTGCTATACTGTATAAAATTGTTTTGTTCTTATTTTTCAAAATATTGAAGATTTTTGACTACATCTTGGCAGATGAGAATTCTACCACTGAACAACCGATGGACCTTTTTGACTACGTCTTGAAATTAACCTGTACTCCTTCTTTTTAGCAGGATGCGAAGAGTGTGGTCTTGTTCCTTGGGGAGTACATATAGCAATAAGAACAATTATTGTGGAATAATAACAATGGTTCTCCCTCTCTCTCTCTCTTTTTTTTTTTGTATGTACGATGTAGCAGGCTCTGTACTGATCTCTTTTTTTGCATATGCTTTTTGAGATTACATTCTTTAAAACTGGTAGTCTCCACCCACTACAAAATTAAAAAAAAAATTGAAAGACATAGAGTAAGATGTATACGAAGTAAGCCTTCCTTCCCTAATCTTTCCCCTAGAGTCAAGCAAGCTCACCAGTCTCTTCTGTTTGCCTTCCAAGATATGCTGAGCATCTAAATATATATTACTTCATTTAATCCTCACTACAACCCTATGTGGTGACTACTATTTTCATCTTTATTAATAGATGAGGAAACTGAAGCACAGAACGTACTTGCCCCGAATCACAAGAAAATAGGAGAACCAGGATCAGAACTCATATCTGTTTCATCACCGCTGCACTTCCTTCCCATTCTCTTCCGTCCAGATGGCCTCAGAGCCTGGACTCTACTCTCTCTTTCCCCCACCTGCTTGTCTAAATCCTACTCACCCTTTACGGTCCTGCTCAGAATAAGAATAATAATAGCATTTATTGAACGCTGTCTATATGCCAGGCACTTACACACAAGATCTTACTTAATCCTCATGGAGCCCCACGAGGCATATGCTATTATTATCCACATGTGACAGAAGTGAAACTGAGACTTAGAAAGTCACACAGCTAGTAAGTGGCAGAGGCCAGACTCAGCCACGATGGTCTGATTAAGGCCCTTGCCTCCCAGCCCAGACCCACCCACTCCCACAAGGCCCTCCCTGACTCCCTCGCTGGCAGTGATTCTACTTCTTTCAGGAAAGCCCTAACACTTCTCATCACACACTGAGATGGCTGCTTGCAAATTGTCCTGTATTATTCTCTGACAATGTAGCCTTCTAGATTCTTCTCTTTCAATTTTTCTATCTGCTCCTGGAGAGCAGACTATTTTTAATGCTCGGTCATAATACTGAGCAAGTGCCTGGTGAGCAGTAAGTATGCAACACACAATTGGTTTATCTATCATAAAAAAAATTTAGCTCCACCCGAGCAATTGTAAAAATCCTAATGAGGTCTTACAAAATAGAACAGGAAATGAACTGATGAGAAGCGAACTCTTTCAACTTCTGTCTGGACTTATGTCATCAGCTTATTTAACTTTTGAAAAATCAAATATATGTGCACTAGGAAAAATGAGAGGAAAAAGTCAATGTAGAGTGTGCAGTGATTCTGCCTGTGAGCGTGCACCGGGAGGCTGTGGCCTGCCTTCTCTGGTGGGTCTCCATTCCAAGGGCTTCTCAGAGGGTGAGGTACCTTCCCTCTGAATGTGGTTCTGCTCCTTCAACTGTGCTGGGCTGGGTTTTGTTGTTGTTGTTGTTTGTTTTTAAATGCAACCCGGACTCTAAATACAGGTCAACTATTTTATCAGGTGTTCAGCTGAGTACACTGAACTAGGTTCAAGTGCTAAAGGATAATCCAACTATACATCCTGCTTTTAGGGAAATTAGACAGATTTTTATTTGAGCAGACACAGTTTCTACTTTTGGAGCTTAACCACAGTTTCAGATGCTACTACACTGGACCTTGTATCTAAGGATAAAGATGATCCCTAGACAGGAAAACTTCAGATCCCATTAGTTCACATGCTAATATTGGGCAAATAAATTTGAAAACTACTTTCCACAGTGAAAAAAGATCAGTGTGTGAAATGAGGCTGTTTTGGTTTTGTATTGGTTGCCTTTTCTTTTTCCAGTGACGTTGTCTCAACTTGTAAATTAACCCTAATCACAGGCAAGGTCTTTGCTTAAGAAACTGACAGCAACACACTTGCTGATGGGTCAATATGGCATAAACTTTGAAGTAAACAGGACCTCTGCGGGGTGGAAGACTGGATTTGAATTTCTCCAAGTTTCCTCCAAAACCTCTCACTCTGTGATAATATTCCAACAGCTCTAAGTCCATTATAAAAAGATCTTCTGAATAATTTATGGCCCCTGCTTTCCTTTAACCAAGCACATAGCTGCTCTCCAGACACCGGCTTTTCTGCTCCTTTTGTAAGCACTAGGATGCTGGATCATCAGTCACACTTTGGGCCACTCCACTGGTCTTTGGGGACGACTGCCCAGACCTGCAGGGACATCCTGAACTTGCTGATGTTGGAGTCGCTCCAGTTATTTACTGCTCTTTTCTGCCTCTTGTTAGTCAGTGCACCACAAGGAGTGGATTAGTCAAATTCACGGAGGATTAAGTGTTATTGGAGAATATTTGTGCCCTGGATCCCCAGGCAGGGGTTCAGATTTACTTCGGAGCCCTCTTCTGAAAGCAGAGCAGACTCTGGAGCTCGAGGCTGGGGCCTCAGGTTAGGGCAGTGGGAACTGGGATGGGTGATGAAAATTTGCTGGGGAGGCTGCTGACCCTTGCCTTGCCCTGTGGAGCTGCCTGATAGTTTTTGTGTCTCCTTAAAGCTGTCTTGCCTTGTTGTGACTCATTCTTGGCTTTTCTGAAAAATGACTTTCTTGGCCCCCTACGCAGGGACCCTCAGTTAAACTTTCTCTCCCCTTCTCAGGGAGGGTATTGCCACAAATGGGCTTAAAAAGCCATGTGCTCTGACAATCCCCTTTCCCATAGCCTCCCTTTCTACCCAGTGTCTCATTTCCTGCCCCCAAGTCTGAGAGTGCTTTCTGGCTGGAGGAGGATGGCCAGTCCTGTAATGTCTCTGCTGGCTAAGCTTTCCCATTTATCGAGCCTCAGCCTAAGAGTCATTTCCTTCAGGAGGCCCCGCCCCCTCAAATACCAGTTCCCAGTTCCCACCCCACCTGAGACCCATGGCCCCTGATACACTCCTCCCTTGTTCCTCCCTTGCTCCCGTGGCACCTGATACACTGCTCTGTGACGTGGTCTGTCTACTTGTCTGCCTTTCACCTGATGTTACCTCAACAACTGGGTTTCAGTAAGTCTTTACCCATAGTCCCTGCAAACGGTGTTGTGGGTAATAACTGACCTATATGGGGAGTTTTTCTCTTCTTAACTTCCTGAGACAGGAGGGAAGGGGGCAGGGCACAATCACTAAAGGAATGACACGGCAATCAAGGACAGGACAAACTGGTTAGAACCAAGATGGTGAAAGATTCGATTTCCAGTAGACCTTGAGCCTCATGGCACACCCACAGGTGCCATGGCAGTTCATAGGATGACCATAAAAGGTCAAAAAGTAGGTGGGGCCCAATTCCTGGAAATCCCCGCGCCTTCCCCCAAATAGTCCAACTAATTCCTTAGCATAGGAAATTACGGAGCCCATAAAAAGTAACAGTCCCACACCTTGTGGTCACTCTCTTGCCTTCTGAGATGGCCCCCACTCTGTCTACAGAGTGTGTTTCTACTTTTACTTTAAACTAAACACCCCCCACACCTCTCGGCCTCTCTCCCTCTCACCTTTTACGATGGTACACATTTTGCTTACAGAGTAGGTATCTCCTAAGCCACTCTCCCTTCTGAGTGAGACAGACTGCACTCTATGGAGTGTGTATCTCTCTAAATAAACTTGCCTTCACTTACTATGCCTTGCTCTTGAATTCTTTTCTGGGCGAGGCAAGAACCTAGTCTCTGGCAACATTCCTAGGCTTTTTTTTTTTATGTTTTTACACTTTTAAAATCATACATTTTCATATAAACAGAAAAATGGAACAGGATACAGTGAATACTCATTTACCCAGATTCACCTAGATTTACTAATTGCTTACATCTTGACGTATGTACTCCACCTGCTCTGTTTGCTCAACTATTTCAAAGTAAATTTCAGATATAACATTTTACCCTTACTCACGTATACATCTCTAAAAATAAGGACGTTTTCCGACAGAACCATAATACCATATACAATAATACCATTATCACACATATTCATATAATCACACCTAATAAAGTGAACAATAGTTCTCAAATATCACCATTGTCCTCAAAAGGTTTTTAACAGATGGTTTATTCAAACTAGAATCCTCTCAGGGACTATACTTCAGCTGGTCCCTGACCAACCAATTGGAGACATTCAGTTATGTCTCTAAATTTCTTTTAACTGTTAACAGTTCCTACCCCCTTTCCCATGTTATTGACTGGTTGAAGAAATCCAGCCAATTTTATTGGAAGACCCACTTACATGGTGCTGTTTATTAACTTGACCAGATTTCTGAGGTGAGCTGACCTAAGGGAGAATAACAGCCACCACTGCAGGCATCTCCCCACAGCACGGACCTTCCAGTTCTACCCTCTTTGTTTTCATCACTTAAGCACAAATCCTCGGGGCACTAAGGCTCAAGACTTACCCTGGGCTCTCACATCTTCTGCGTGGATGTCCCTTTCCTGGCCTTGCTGTCAGCCGGTGTGAGACTTCCAATAAAGCAGGGACCTGCACAGCTCTCCCTACAGCCACCAGCAACCACCACAGGAAGCCTGGTGCCCAAGAAACATGCAGGGGAGAAAGTCTTTGAACTTAGGGCTCTGAGTCCTCATTATCGGTAGCAACAACCAGCAGCCGCCATTTTGAATGAAGTTAAACTCTCTCCTCCAACTTTCATGAAGTCAATAAATCTCTTCAGGTCATCCTAGAAAAACAACCTGTTTTCTAAGTGATGCAAGGTCCAGCAGTGCCACCCCCACCCTCTGGCCCCAGATGGACTGGCTCCAGGCAGAAAATCATTCACACTGACTGCTCCTGCCGGCAAAAAAGGAAAGCCGGTTCCATTGACTTGACTGAGAAATGTGAGGGGTTTAGTCTCAGCCATAATGTCAGTAGGGAATATCTTGGCTGAGATGCTCCAGCAAATCATCCAGGAAGAGTGGGATCTCCATTTCAGAGGGAGGGGAGAGAGTGGGCGGCTGGGACAGGGGGAGAATGGAGCTGGGGGAGGTTCGGAACAGCTGTATGTTTAGAGTGGCGGCCCAAGGCCACAGGCAGTCATCGAGCATATAATTCAGGCGCAGAGAGGATTCCTGATAGAGAGAAGTTGGGGAGCGGAGTCATGGCAGCAGGGGGTGTGGGCTGAAAACACCCAAGGGACAGTCTGTGCCAGGCTGATGTGAATATTAGCTGTTTACTTTGGTTCATGGGATTTCTAGCTGTGTTTATTTTTTTAACAAGGAAAAAAACTGCAAAAACTATATTTCTAGTGGTGGAGTAGGTCGCATTTTATTCTTCCTGAAAGTGGTGAAATGCTGGATAGGTAATGAAAGGAAGAAAAGAGGACTTTATACCTTTACACAAAATTCTCAACTTGGATGTCAGTTAAACCTTTTCATTTTCTGGCTCTTCCTCTTCATAATTCTGTTTCCTGTTTTCCCTTTTTGCCATGATGCTCCCCTCCCTGCTTCTCCTCCCCCAACAACACACCCACACACACACTCCACTCTCTTTCCCTACTTTCATTTCAGTGGCTGGCAAAATCAGAACGTTATTTGGTTTTGAAATAGTCACTGCGGAAGTTTATGAAATCTTTTTCTCTGGAAGTTTTACTAAAGCAGGTCTGAGCCCCTCTTTTTTCCAACAGTGTAAGGATAGAGTGTGTGTGGGGGGAAGGGGCTGATGAGAGATGAGATGACCTCTCAAGGACACCCCTCTTTGTGGTAAACAGAAACTTGCTCCCCAGAGTTGGGGCAGAGGGCAGGAGGGGTAGCCTCCCCCTCTCTGTTCCCTCCCTAAGATACAATAGGAGGCCTGGCCATTTTGGCAAATAACTTGTTCCCCACTTTGTTCTACGGTTGATTTGGAGAGCAGATTTCTAAGAACAGCAAGGAAAGCCAGGGCACTGCTTTTACATGAGTGCCCTCTTAATGCACCATCAGGGGTGGCTCTGGACCAGCTGTGCATGCAGAGGGGCCTCCAGCCTTCTGGTGTCAGCTGTGTGGGGTGGAAATTCCCTTTCCTGTGTGAAGCCACAGTGGGAAGTGGGGCCTGGGAGTCTGAAACAGCTTCAGCTTTCTGGGAGTATATTTGGAAGCCAACTAAGTAACAGGAAGTCATCACTTGGGCTTTAAAGCAGATTAGTGCTTTATATGAAGCCAATGAATACAGAAAATGGTCTAAAGAGTTGTAAAACAGAGAGGGAGACGGAGGGGAAGGGAGGGATGGAGGGGACGGCAAGAGAGAGCGGTTAGCATCTGGATAACATGCACTGTGGGTTTTAGGAAGGTGACCTGTTTGTCTAAGTGAATTACACTGGCCATTGCTGGACTTCTGTACTTCTCACTTTAGGTACTTTTTTTCCTTCTTCTTATCCTCTGCCCCACTTCTTCAATAATCCTTTCCTAGGGCCACAGGATTCTCTTGGACTTCAGAAAACCCTCCCTTCTCTGTCCTTCCCGAGTGTTCCAAGGATTGAAGACTCGCTGGGCACACAGCAATCACACCTAAGATCCGAGCTGGCACCCAGGATTCAATAGCTGTGCTGGTCCTCACACTGCTCACTGGAGCTTGGCTAAGGCATCTCCTGGGCCTACAGATGGTGGCTAGGCATTAAGACCTACCTGTTAAAGGGAAGAAAGAGAATGACTTAATGACACATTTTGTTTTGTCTTTTATATTTATAAGTGAAACCACTATCAGAAAAATTTCACCATAAAGTTGGCATCTCTCCGTGTGTGTGTGTGTGTGTGTGTGTGTGTGTGTATTTCATCAGTCTTCTGTTGGGGAATTTTTCTTCTATTTTATAAGAGAAAATAATAGCCACCAGAGAGAAACTCCCTCAAATTCTTGCCACACACTTACCTGTAGGGATGCCTACCTTTCCCTCCTTTCCCATCATAGTGGTGACATGGGAAGCCCCATGAAAAAGACCAGCAGGACCCCCCACGCAGGGCCACTACTCCCCTGCCAGCACCATCTGGTTCCCTGGCCCAGAGGCATTAACTCAGTTTTTGCCTTTGAAACGGCTTACTTCTAAGAAAGTGGAACTTACCCCTAAAATTCTATTGGTTCCCTGAACTAACTCCTGATTGGCCCACTTGTAGAACTTCATTTGCATGGAGTTCACTCCTGGTTGGTCCATTTCCCTCACTCCTGATTGGTCTATTTCTACAAAGCTTGTTCCTAATTAGTCACCTTTATTATAACTTACTAGCATATGATGTTACAAAATGTTGCAAAGTCTAGACTGGTAGCCTATAAAAGCCTGTGTAAACCTACAGACGGGGTCCAGAGCTTGGAGTGTTAACTCTTCTGGGCCCGCTGGTGTAACAAAACCTGAGTTCTCCAGCTCTCTGAGTGCTGCTTGGTCTCTCGGCCAGATCCAGGCTGCTGTCATAACTGAGCTATAACACTGAGCTATAACACTTTGCTGCAACATTTCAAGCGATTGCTCATTGTCAAGGTCAGTTCTAAGGCTCTATATTCCCCTTGCTGTCTGATAACTTTGCTCCATTGTAAGTCCCTTCTCTTTCCTGCTGCCTCACTTGCTACCTTTCATCAGTATTTAAACAAGCTCAAGTTTCAACCATCCTAAAAGTAATACCCTCCCTTGCTTCTACATTCCTTTCCAATGTATTAACTATATTTTCATAATTCTGTATTATTGATCCTCTGACATTTGAAGCTTTACTGACCAGGAAGGGTCTTCCCTCACTGCCCTCCTCCTTCCAGGGTTAGCTAATTCCTAGAGATGTAACACAACTCACCCGAGAATGTATTTTTCCTAGGCAAATCAACCAAATTCCAATTTCAGAGCCCACAACCCAGCTACCTCCTTTATGGGCTCTCACAGGGCTCTTACACTTGGCCCACTATCCTCCTGCCCTAATCACCCCAAGGCCAGATACCAGAGGGCTAGAGATAGCCCCTGGTTGCAGAGCCTGCTGAAATCATTCCAACTAGCCAATCCTAAGCCTGCCTACCCTGCCTTGCCTTGCCTTCCTGTGAAAACCACAGACAAATCTCCTGCACATATTTCCCCCTCTCCTTCCTCCTGATGCTTTCCTCTGTGACCCTGAGTGGCCTGGTGTGCCCCTTCTCCATGAAAATTATGAGTAACAAACTGTGTTTTCAATGGCAGTCATCTCCAGATCTGTTGGCCGCACATTACTGGAATAATAATGAAACTTACACTTTAAAACATCCACCTACTTCCTTATCTGGTGTCTTTTGACTTTAGGCAAACATATTGAAACAAGTGTCTACACTCACCATCACCACTTCCTTACCCTCCATGCTGAAACTCTCCTTGAAATCTGGCTTCTGTTCCAACATTCCTCTGCTACTGCTCCTGCCAAGACCCTAATAACCTTGTTGCTAAATTTTAAGGCTGCTTTCTTGGCATTATCTGATTTGAGCTTTAAGCAGCATCTGACAGTAGTGACCACTGTCTTCTTGAAACTGTCTTCCCTTGGCTTTAGTGATACTTATCTTTTCCACCACAACTTAAGACTCCTTTGTGGGTTCCATTTCTGTTGATCTGTTCATTGTAGAATCCATAGAAAATTCAGCAGTGTGCTTGTCATCTCCACATGGATATCCTACCAGTATTTTAGAGTGGGAACTTCCTAACCTGAACTCACCATCTCCACTCCTGAGCCCTTCCTCACCCCCTCCCTTTTTCAGTGAATGGCACCATCATCCCTTGAATTGTTGTAGTCAGAACCATATGTCATCCTTGGCTCCTCCTTCTTCTGCATTCCCCACATCCAGTTAATCACCAAGACCCATCAAGTTTACATCCTGAATATTTCAAATCCATTTATTTCTATCTCCATTGCCACGGTGTTACTTTGAGTTTCTGTATCTCTTACCTGGATAATGCAGCAGCCTCCTAACTAGTCTCCCTGACTCCCTTTTTACTTCCTCCCTTCCATTCTTCACATTGCAGCCAGAGCTCTTTCTACACCTTCACATCAGAGCATGCAACCCCTTTCCCCCACTTTATATCCCTTTGATGGTGCCTCATTATCCTTAGGACAAAGTCCAGATTTCCCCATGTGACCTTCAAAAACCTCCATCTTGTGTTATTTGCTTGCCTCTCTGGTCTCTTGACTCATCTTCTCTCCCCCGACCCCATCACACTGAACTGTGTGCAGTATCCTGGCTGCCCCTTCTCAACTCCTAGCCTTTGTGCCATTCCTGGGACTTCCTTCCCTTCTCCACTTCCTGGCTAACTTCAGCTCATTTCTTAGCTCCCAGGTTGGAGATATAAATCCCTCCTTAAAGCCTTTTCTGATTTTCAGGTGCTCCCAGAGCCAACAGAGTACCTCCACCAAACATCTTACCACATCCTATTGTCAATGCCTGTCTCTGTTTGTTTCCCATATAGTTATAAGAGGGCAGCAACACGTCTGGTTGACTATACCATTTCCAACACCTTGCACAACATTGGCACAAACAGTTGCTGAATAAATGACTGTGATTCTAACCAGTGTTTGTGGGTGAGGGTTATTTCAATGATATGGTCTGTCCTGG